TATTTTACCTTTTTCTCAATCTTGAAACCTGTTTTGTTCATCAATTATGTTTGGTCTTGTGTCTTCATATTTTTTGTTAGCATCTTTCTCTTCTGAATGTAGATAAACTGCTGATTACTCCCTGGTCACATATTTAATAAATCCCCCTGCTGACAGTAACAAAACTTCAACAATTTTTGAACATGTTTCTGCCTTGCACCCAGGTTTTTGGAAGTTACGTTCAGCCTTGAAATCTCACATTGAACACAATTGCACAAAGTCATAATGTGCTGGGGGGGGGGGTTGGGGGGGGGGGGGGGGGGGGTTTTTCTCTAGAATGTGTTGTGAATCCAGTGTCCATTGTGGGTTACAATTATGGGATATGGCTTAGCATAAGTGAAGCCAGGGTAATAAAATTGTGGCTTAATGTAATGTGTGAACCCAACCTAAATGCTGTTACCTAAAGTGTATGCTATTGCTAAGGGTTCTTTTGAAGGCTGTCTTAGTTGGAATTTGAGCTTATTTAGACTGTGTGATATGTTCAACACTTTGCTTTTTGGGGAGCCAGGCAGATCGATATCAGCGTCTAAAGGATGAGGTTGTACGAGCTCAAGTCCAGCTCCAGCTCTTCAAGCTGTACCACAACGAGGCTGAAATTGAAAAGCTGAACAAGGAGCTGGGGTCCAAGAACAAGGAGATTGATAAGGATAAGAAGCGCATGGACAAGGTGGAGGATGAACTCAAGGATAGGAAGAAGGAGCTGGGCAAAGTGATGAGAGAGCAGCAGCAAATCGAGAAGGAGATCAAGTAAGGCTGATGGTGATGGTTTTAGGGGTATCAGAATTCAGGCTCATGAGACCTGCATTGTTTTCTATTACACCTCTGGGTCCCATCACAGAATAAGAAGTCACTATGATTGAGTTTATCTATAGCTCAGTAAATTCTGAAAATACTTCAATTCATTGTTAAGGAATAAGGACCATGGAGCCTCAGACTAGCCACAAGGGCAGTCTACACTTGGCTTTGTCTGTGACAGCGAATTAAAACACATAAAGACTAGATAGCCTGCAGAATAAGTAACTCAAGAAACTGAGCCAAATTATCTACTATAGATCAGATATCTCATGCCTATGAAACTACAGTGATGATGATGATGGAAATTGAAGTCACAACCTCTGGAGAGTACCAGCTTGCCTACTCCTCTCTTAAAAATATCTGTGGTTTTGATTTCTTCTTACAAATTACTTGTCAGAATTGAAGGATTGTTAAATTGTTAAAGAACATTGTTTTTTTTAATTATTATTATTTAAGCCTGCAGAATGCAGTTTTCCCGAGGAGCGGGCTGTTCTAGTTCAGTGCCTTGTGTGGGAGCATGTCTAGTTCAATCAGAAAGACTAGATTTCCTTTAGAGTGACAATTTAGAGTAGTGGTGTGTCTTGTGTTTGTATAAAATTAGAACGGTCAAGTTTCTTTTTTTAAAGAAAAGTTTTTTGACAGGGAAAAGGATTCTGAACTGAATCAGAAGCGGCCTCAGTATATCAAGGCCAAAGAAAATACTTCTCATAAAATCAAGAAACTGGAAGCTGCAAAGAAGTCCCTGCAGAATGCCCAGAAGCAATACAAAAAGCGTAAGGGTGACATGGATGAGCTGGAGAAGGAGATGTTGTCAGTGGAGAAGGCCCGACAGGAGTTCGAAGAGCGCATGGAAGAGGAGAGCCAGAGTCAAGGCCGGGATCTCACACTAGAAGAAAACCAGGTGTGATCAAGGCCTGGGGACCCACTGAATGGGATCTTGCCATGATATTGCTGGAGAGGGGGGGATGGGAGAGAAATTGGTTCTAGGTACGTTTTGATATCAACAAACCCTGCTCTGGACACAGACATGGGGAAAAAAATAATAAATTTCTCTTTCTGCTGAGAAAGAAGCTTATGATTTTAGGCAGACTACAAAAAAAAATACAGTCTGAGTCAGAAGCAGGCTGAAATTAATTTAATGTTAGGACAATGAGATAAAATGTTTCTGGAGGCATGGCGCCTTATATACCATAAGATAACGTTGAACTGGGATGTAAACAGCTACTTATGTGAGATTGTGATGAAAATACTTCGATTCTCCAAGGATTTTTCCACCATGATATTTGAAACCCGACCACTTTAAATGATTAATGTATTTCTATATAGCCTGCCCTTCTGCATCACAATGTGCTCAGGGTTTAAAATCCACTATAATAAAATCACAACAGTTTGAACTGAACTCTCATACCTAACTAATTAGCTAAGAAAACAGGAGTGATTTAGGGTTCAAAAAGCACAAAAAGTCATAGCTGGATGAGGAGAACAAAATGCTGTGAAATAAAGCTGTTTTTAAAACCTGCCTAAAAGCCAGCAATGAAGAGAAGAGTCATATCTTCCTTGGTTGGGCATTTTATAATCTGGGCACCATTGCTATCAGTAAAGTGCAATTTTCAATCCCCCCCACTCCCTGTCCAAGAGACAGCTCTGTAAGCTTGGGGCTGAAGAAGGACCTTGGAAATTGGTTGAGAGGCAGCAAGTTGAATCATAATTTTGAACATGCCCTTTATATTTTTTACTGTAGAATAAGATACTTTTCCATATTCTTTATAGATCGAGTGGGGTGAAAGAAATTATTTATGCATTAAATGTACATCAGACAGCAAAAATATTCAAGGAATATAATGGGGGACATTCTTGGCATTGTTAATGTACGGCCTGTGTGAAATCTGAAGTATAAGTCTTTGTAAGTGCTGTGAACAAAATTAAACAACTGGACAGCTGTTCTCTTGCAAAGGACAGCTGAATTGGGGAATGTGGTTTTAGGGTAGATCTCCCCCAGATCTAATTATGTTTATTGTTTTGCTTGCTTTCATCATATATTGAACAGGTAAAAAAATACCATCGGCTGAAGGAGGAGGCCAGCAAGAGGGCAGCCACCTTGGCCCAGGAATTAGAGAAGTTCAACCGTGACCAGAAGGCAGATCAAGACCGCCTGGATCTAGAGGAGAGGAAGAAAGTAGAAACGGAGGTCAGCACTCATTTGTCTTTGCTGACTCTTTCTTCTTGCTATAGCAAGCATTATTCCAGAAATTAAACAAAAAAACTTTGCATCCAGTTCATCCAGTTTCAGTGCCTCAGATTTACTGAGTTTATATTGGACTAACTGGACAAAATAACATTTATTTTAATTTGCATTTCTTTTGTAATCCCAACGGGGAAGAAAACAGACTATAGCAGAGCTCTGAAGCCAATCCTCAGATCACTGGGATTTTTTTTTCCAGCCACACCATTACTTCTGAGCCCTCAAGTCTAGCTTTACAGTAAAAAAAGAAAGGAAAGTGAATCCCACCCAAGTGCCTTATTTTATGATCTCTTTCCTGCATCTCAACAAAATACTCCATGGAAACTACTCATGTATTCTTACCCTAAAATCTACCTTCTGTGCCTTTCTAAGTTGTGTGAGCTTTTCAGGTGTTCCAAAAGTGACAAGTTGGATTAACTGCTTACATATGCATGTGTATTATATATAATTTGAAATATTAGGCAAAATGAGAGTTGACAGCCACCTTGAGGCCATGAAAAGACTGAATGTAGGCCAATCTTAACTAGGCCAGTGTCACTGAGGCTCTGTTAATGGAGGAGCTGAGAAATGGTGATTTGTATGGGTTTGGCTAACTCTTAGAGAATGTGGTATCCAGTTTCAGACACTACATTCCAGGCTTATATTGGTGATTGAAAAATATTCTGTAAAACTGAAGAAGATACATAAGTTTTAGAAGAAAATACCAAGAGTAGATGTGTAAATGAGAGCAAAATGTATAGATCCCACCATGCATTACTAGGCTGCCAGTGAGGCTGCATGAAGAGAAACCCACATCATGCTGCAGCAGCATCTGTTGAGGAAAATGTTGCAGATTTTCTCTGGAATGATCGGTTAGCCTGAGCAAATTCCCAAAGATGTTTGACAGCATCTTACTAATACGATATGATCTGCTTTTTATGACATCCAGCATTGTCCTCCTCGTTTGCTTCCTCATTTTGTTCCGTTTATTCCCTGCCAACATAAAAAGATGATGTGTCTTTGATATGACCCACCTTAAATAAGGATTGTAAGAGCCCAAATGGATATGAATGAGGCCATCTAGCTATTCCCAATCTGGTGCTATCCAAGTGAGTTGGGCTACAATTCCTGTCACCATCAGACAGCAGCATACTCATGATCTGGCTGAGGAGGTAGGGTTGTAGTCCAAGGCAGATGGAGGTGCCAGGCTGATATCGAAGGGACCTATAATCCAACACATTTAGAGGCACTAGATTGGATTAAATTAGGCAGGATTAAATTATCTTGGTCCTCATCTTGTTCTTCTGATGTATCCTGTAATAGTGGTGCTCATCTAAAAGTGTCAGAGCCCCATGCTAGATGCTGGTAGATATGGTCCTGATGTTTGCTCATGTGTGTCCTCAATCTTTCCGTAGGCCAAGATAAAGCAGAAATTGCGAGAGATTGAGGAAAACCAGAAGCGTATTGAGAAGCTGGAGGAGTACATTGCCACTAGCAAGTAAGGGCCAGGAAGAGCCAAAACCCTTGCAATAATGGGGGCAGGGGTTTGAATCACAGCACGGGGAGGAATGAGCAGTTGGGCTTTGCATCAAGTTGCTTCAAAAGATCACCTTGGTACAGAGGAGTATAGAGTGCCCAGAACTCAAAGTGCCTTCTCCTTACTCCTTTAGGCAGTCTTTGGAAGAACAGAAGAAGCTGGAGGGAGAGTTGACAGAGGAGGTTGAACTGGCAAAACGCCGGATTGATGAGATCAATAAGGAGTTGAATCAAGTGATGGAGCAGCTGGGGGATGCCCGGATTGACCGGCAGGAGAGCAGTCGGCAGCAGCGCAAGGCAGAGATCATGGAAAGCATAAAACGTCTCTACCCGGGCTCTGTGGTAGGCAAAGCTTCAAAACCAAGTACCAGAGGTCACTGGGCTGGGTGTGGGCTGAGTGCTCCAGAAGAAAAACGAGGTTGGAGTGATTTACCCTGCCTACCTCCTCATTTCATTTCCTTGTTTCTCCCAGTATGGACGCCTAATTGACCTCTGCCAGCCCACCCAGAAGAAATACCAGATAGCTGTCACAAAGGTGCTGGGCAAGAACATGGATGCCATCATCGTTGATTCAGAAAAGACCGGCCGGGACTGCATCCAGTACATCAAAGAGCAGCGAGGAGAGCCTGAGACCTTCCTGCCTCTTGACTACCTTGAGGTGAGGCAAACTTTGGCTGATTGGATTAGAACTTTTCCCAGCCAGGGACCCAGCTTGTAGTTCCATAATCTGCAGCCACCCTAGCAAACGTTGGCTGGAAATTACAGCGGTTGAAATCCAACATATCTTGGGGGCTTCAGGCTAGGGAAAAGTGAGTTAGAATTTCTGTTCACACAGGAAGCACAGTGAGCAACCTGAGTTACATTCTTGATTTCTCACCATAACTTGCTTAAAAAAGTTGGTGTTGACAAGCAGTAAGCTCCCTTTTTTTTATCAGTTTGTGAAACAAAACTAAGATATTAAAGGAATGGTGAGGTTATTGACAAATAAGTTAGCACAAATATTTGACTTTTTTATTTTTGGCAAGGTGCACTTTTTCTCATTTCTCTTTTGCTACCTGCCGATGGGCATCCAAATGCTTCTCCAGATAGCCTTAATTAAAAATCTGGGTTGCTGTTATTGTTTTTATGAAGATCTATTAGGAAAAGGAAGAGGGGGAAAAAAATTGGAATTCTGCCCCTCCCTTCTGAGTTCAGTAGCTGAACTAAATTTATTTGGATTCAATAAGCAGGCATGAATTCCTTTTGTGCCCCTGCCCATCTTCAGCCTAGATTGTCCGTCCATTGTATGGGGTCAGTCTAATAATGTCTTTTCTGTCCTTCGCTCCCAGGTGAAACCCACAGATGAAAAGCTTCGAGAGCTAAAGGGAGCCAAGCTTGTGATTGACGTGATTCGATATGAGCCTCCTCATATCAAGAAGGCCCTTCAGTATGCTTGTGGCAATGCCCTTGTATGCGACAACGTGGAAGATGCACGTCGCATTGCCTTTGGTGGGCACCAGCGGCACAAGGTCAGAGCAGACTTATCCAACATGCTGTAGGTAGACCATAATCCTCTCCCAAAACATCATATTCCAGTACTCCAAATACATGGGTTCTGTGACTTGTAGGAATATGTGCCTAGAATATGTGCTTAAGTTTATTTTGTAGCATGTATCATGGCCTCACCTTGCTGACTTTTGCAGATGTCCAAAAACCTAACCAGAGTCAGACCTGGTTAATACTTGCATGGGGAACCACCTGGAAATCCCAGGGCTTTAGACTAGATTGTGAAGAAAATAATGACCAACGACTTCTGTATTGTTGTCAAGAAAATTAAATAGAGATATCCATATGGCCACCAAGTGTAAATCTCAGCTCAAGGGAGTCTTGATGTTTGTACTTTTAGCTGCAGATGAAGCAAAGCACCACTGGTGAAAATATTTGGTTTTCACAAACACCACGAACACAAACACAGAGCTTCAGAATAATCTTTGCCCTGTCTTTGCTGAGTATCCTTAGAGAAATTTTGGTTCTCAGCGTTTGCTAGCTGAAGTTGCCTCTGTCAGCCAAGACCTGACCTTTTGTTTCCTTGATGTGAAGTGCCTTGTTTTTTCATCTTCTCACTTTTATTTCCTTGCTTCTGTTGTAGACAGTAGCCTTAGATGGGACCCTGTTCCAGAAGTCGGGGGTGATCTCGGGAGGTGCCAGTGATCTGAAAGCCAAGGCCAGGCGCTGGGATGAAAAAGCTGTAGATAAATTAAAGGAGAAGAAGGAGAGGCTGACAGAGGAACTCAAGGTTGGAACTGCTTTTGAATTGTAGAACTCAGGCCAGCTGCCTTTGTCATAATGTCAGTGGGCAGAAGTTGACTCAGAGTAGTTAGAGGACTACCGAGGTTTTTGAAATGCATCTTAGACTATTAAAGTTTATTCCAAGAAACATAGTGATATAGAACATCATATGGAGAGTGTTTTGGGTGGAAGAGTTGGCCTCAAAGTCTACGAGGAACATTAGATGCATTTTTATTCCTTCTGGCAGTAGTTGGTGGCAGTGCCTTGTTATGTTCAGTTAAAAAAAATAGAATTTTCCCAATTGAAGGAGGAAATAAAACTCTGACCCTGTTTGTATTATTAACAGTAGATCATAATGTTTAGTTATGGACACCATGCACTTCCTCCTGCCATGCAACCGCAAGAAAAAATAAATCTGGTTTTTGATTTAACACATTCCTGGTTTGTTGATTTAAAATAAACTTTAGTTTCTAAACAAACAGCACAGTGTCTTCATGAATAGAGTTTATTGCAAAATTGGAATTTCAGGTATGCATGAAGGAATGAATGAGAAATTTGTCAAATTTAAACTAAATCTTGAAAGTTTCCTCTCCTAGTTGTCCAGGAGAAGGAGGAGGGAGGAGTGCTCAAGCCCAGCACTTTGTACAGACATGTCCTTGCTGGTGTATATTACTAAATCATGGTTTCCTGTTACATGTACATTCATATTGATGTGGTATTTAGATTAATTAATTAAGTGACTTGTACATGAAAATAATTGAAATAGTCACATTCCAGAAGAGCCTAAACTTCTCTAGCAAGACTGAAATGTGGTACACCGAATAACAGCAAATTGATTGTGTCAGGGACAGCAAATTTTTAGTTCCGTTTATTGTAGTGCTACAATTTGTATTTAAGATCACCCTGTTTTGATGCATAAATATCTCAGTTTAGGAAGCCATGTCTTTGTTGTTTTCCTATTAGGAATTGTTCACCTCAGCATCATAAATCAGCTTTCCAAAATACGATTCATTGTTAATTTTCCTGATATTATTCCTGATATCCAGCTACTTCTTTGCATTAACTCAGCAACAAGGAAGTCTTTTCATCCTACTTCTTTGGGTTTGTTTAATTTTGGTCACTAAATTTCCCTCTCCCAGGAACAAATGAAGGCCAAGCGTAAAGAGGCAGAGCTGCGCCAGGTCCAGTCCCAGGCCCATGGGTTGCAGATGCGCTTGAAATACTCCCAAAGTGATTTAGAACAAACCAAGACCCGTCATCTCGCTCTCAATCTTCAGGTACAATGGTCACTTGCTGGAGCTAGATTCCGTTTTAAACCTCCAATTTCCATTCACCTCCATGAATTATGTGAGAAACACTACTTTTTGCCTGTGGACTAATGCATAAAATGGTGAATGATGGAGAACAGTGTGGAGGAATTTGGTAAGGGAGACTTTTTTCTCATTTTGAAGGAACTGATAGGAAAAAAATCAATACGATTCTTAACCAGCATTCCGTTTAAATAATTTGAGTTACTTAAACTCAATAATTTGACTAACACTAGAGCCTTCTGAGCTGCTTAAATTTTATGAAATAATTATTTGTATCCTGTGATGTCCTTCTTTCTAATTCTGCAAGCTTCAAATTAGGTGAAATAGCTTCATGACTGAAAAAATGGACATCTGTACAAAAATAATAATTCTATTAGTTGTAGCCAATATTTTAAAGGATTAGCAAATATATTGGGTTCTGTATTGCCAGTGATGAAATGCATGTTATGTATCTATGTTCAGAAAATATAAGATGCCATTTTTCAAAAAAAAATGTTAGTTTTTCCATGTGGAAAAGAGAAAAGTGAATTCCTAGCAGCAGTCTCTTAGTTCTTCTGAGCTGTGTCATGATTCAGGTTTGTTCCCAACAGGAGAAGTCCAAGTTGGAAAGCGAACTTGCCAATTTTGGGCCCCGCATCAACGACATCAAACACATCATCCAGGGGCGAGAGCGTGAGATGAAGGAGCTCAAAGAGAAGATGAACCAGGTATGGTAGTCCAAGGCTAAGAGCAGCCAAAGAGGCGTGGCTAAAAAAGAAAGGGAGGTGCAGGGTATGTAGTAGGATAGAAACTGTAGATAGTTGATAATCTGGGAAAATTGCAGCAATAGCAGGAATTTAGAAAGGAAGAAAGTAGTGGGATGCAACCATATCTTTAATATGTATTCTTTACTCTGGTGGTTGAGGATGCTTGGGAAGTTATATCAAGGTAGAAAGTGTTCATTTATTCATTTTAACACACACCCACACCTCCATTTCATCCTTGAGATCAATCTGATATCAGTCTTTCCCCATCATTGCAGGTGGAAGATGAAGTATTTGAGGAATTCTGCCGAGAAATTGGAGTAAGGAACATCCGGGAGTTTGAGGAGGAGAAGGTGAAACGCCAGAATGAGATTGCCAAAAAAAGGTATTGGCCCCATTTCTGTCACTGTGACACTTCCAGACATAACAGCTAGAGCTTTACAAACTTGAAATGGGGAAGGAGGCTTGGATATATGCCACAACTTTTCCCTTTTCCCTTTCCAGGCTGGAATTTGAAAATCAAAAGACCCGTCTAGGCATCCAGCTGGACTTTGAAAAGAACCAGCTGAAAGAAGATCAGGACAAAGTGCACATGTGGGAGCAGACTGTCAAGAAAGATGAAGCTGAGATAGAAAAACTCAAGAAGGTGCATTGAGGGCTACTGCTATGTTGTATCCGTGATTTAGAGTGAAAAAAGCACAACAGACTTAATGGCTGTGCTTTTCCTTTCAATGATCGTGTAGTTTTCCTTTCAATGATCATGCAGGAGGAACAGCGGCACATGAAGATCATAGATGAGACCATGGCACAGCTGCAGGACTTGAAGAACCAGCACTTGGCCAAGAAATCTGAGGTGAACGACAAGAACCATGAGATGGAGGAGATTCGTAAGAAGCTGGGAGGGGCCAACAAGTAAGTCTGGGCCTGTGAGGGCAAGGTCTAAGCAGTAGGGTAGAGATGTCCACCGCTGCCTCTGCTTCACCTGGTAAATTATGCCTGGTAACTGATTTCAGCCTATGGCTTTAATTAATGGAGGATTACTTTTGTTTGGGGAGGGAACAGTTAAGAATGCAAAAGCAAGACTCTGTGGTGTTTTGTGTCAGGTAGCCCCCAGCACCCAGCCTGATGTTTCTGGGAAAGCTGCTAGTTAGACGATCACAACTTTTCCCCCGTTCTCAACATCCAGAAATCAGAAACTACTACTGCTACTGAAAATAGAAGATTCTAATTTGCTATCACAATTAATAGCCATTGATGAAGGTTAATTATGAGTCCTTCTTCATTTTAACCCAAGATCCATAAACTTTGGCTTGAATTAGTAGCTAGGCATGGCTCCATTCTGAGTTACCAGGCACTGCAAAAGCCTGAATTTTACAGTTGTTGGAGAAAGAAGGAAGTACGTGGGGTACATTTTAAATTTTTTTTATTTATTTGACATTCTTAACATAATTAACAAAACAATTTTTAAACTTAAAAAAAAATAGAAAAAACCCAAACAAAGAAAGAGAAAAAAAAGGGGGGAAATCTACCTTTTATATTATCAATAGTCATTGGTTGACTAATAAATAACCATTATAATATAATCAATACAAAATATTGTTGTAAAATATCCCAAAATCTATGCCATAGTAACACATATTGCTACATTCTTTGATAAGTAGAAAATATTGCTTTTTCCAGAACAGATCACACATTTCCAACAACCATTCCTTAACACCTGGAATAATATCACTTTTCCAGTTTCTCACTATAATCCTTTTAGCACCCCTCCCGTGTTAAAATCACACATGATTCCTGATAACCTGTCAGATTCCAAAGCTTTGGTACATAGTTTGACATCACATTAGCATCTTTAACATTTAAAGATTTTTTCATAAATCTACTTATATACATTAACACATTTTTGATGAATCAACTTTAATTTCAGATCTGTAGATACCTGTGATGGAATGGAATTATGAAGGCAGGCTCAGGGAGATAAGCGTGTTCTTAGTTCACCGGAGGAGTGTGGGAAGTTCAAGAGGATGAGGCTGGCACCTCCCTGAGGAAGTCACGGTGTTGTGGCTGGCTGACTTGGGAGCTAGGTTTCAGTCTGGGGAGATTGATGTCAGGTTTAGCCCAAAGAACACCAAGAGACAATGCAAATTCAGTTCTACTGCATTTATTAGCTACAACCTCTAGACAGAAAATCTCCCCAGACTGAAACCTAGCTCCCAAGTCAGCCAGCCACAACACTGCGACTTCCTCAAGGAGGTGCCAGCCTCGAACTTCCGACGCTCCTCTGGTGAACTAAGAACACGCTTATCTCCCTGAGCCTGGCCTTCATAATTCCATTCCATCACAATACCATTCTAACATTTTTAATCCATTGATGAGGAATTCTCAGAGATTCCAGTTCTTTAGTCCATGTTTGAAATACCTTCCCACACTCCTCCGGTGAACTAAGAACACGCTTATCTCCCTGAGCCTGGCCTTCATAATTCCATTCCATCACAATACCATTCTAACATTTTTAATCCATTGATGAGGAATTCTCAGAGATTCCAGTTCTTTAGTCCATGTTTGAAATACCCCAGAAATGTCCATTTTAAAAATACCCTTGAGCTTCTGATAGAGAGGTGTTACAAGTTTTAATTCTGTCATGAATTCCATCAAGTTAGAAAGCATCTCTGGTGGCCAAAGCATCTGGCTCACATTGATCCACTAGAACAGTGTTGTCCAAACTTGGCCATTTTAAGATGAGTGGACTTCAACTCCCAGAATGCTGGCTGGGGAATTCTGGGAGTTGAAGTC